TAGCACGTGGCTGGTCTTACCTTTGTGCCCTGGTCCTGTTTTCTAGAGCTGGCCATGTCTGACCTTAAAACGCTGTTCCCTCCTTAGGTTCGGTCACTGGCAGCAACTGTAAGGAGCTGGCCTCCCAGCATGATGTAGATGGCTTCCTTGTTGGTGGAGCTTCTCTCAAGCCAGAGTTCGTGGATATCATCAATGCCAAACACTGAAGCAGTCTGTGAGGAGCAGTCCCTTGTGGTTCAGAGGAAGAAACGGAAGCAAGAAGGGACCTTTCATCGCACGCGTCTCAGTACAGAGGCCTCCTCTGAGGCTTTCCCCCCTCCACGGTCATTGTCCTAGCTGTGCTGCTAACCCCCACCACCATGTCAGCGTCCTCTTAGTGGAAGCCTGTCTTGGCAGAGTCTTGACAGCCTCCTCTCTGAATTGGCACAATCCTTGGTTGCCCGTTGGCCTGTCAGAGCCTGTGGTCAGCCTGGCCAGTGTCTCCCCCTTTCTCTGCAGCACTGCAGGGAGAGAGGGCTGCTGGTGCTGGGGGAAGGAAAAAGGAACTACAGTGTCTTGCATCCTTCAGCTCCATCAGCAAGGAGCCTGTCAGCTTAGACCCTTGTGAGATGTCTTGCCTCACCTGTGTCCTGTACTGAACAATAAATGAAAAAAAAAACCAAACAAACAAAAAGCAAAGGTGTGTCCTGGATCTTATTCAGAAGCAGCTGGGAACAAGTGTTTACAGAATTTACTGCTTCTCGAGGTAGCTGGTTGCAGGGAGAGTAGTGTGGGGTTGTAGGGAGAGTAGTGTGGGTTTTGTGGGCTTTTTTTTGCCTTTTTTTTTTGAGGACTCACCATTTAGGCATTGCACAGGTTCAACCTGCACCTCATCATCACAGTTTTTCCCTGAGCATCTTGCTTCTGTCGTGGCACAGCTCTTCGGGCCCATGGTGATTTGTGTGCGTCTTTTCCATGTGTGTCTCCGTTCCAGCAGCTGCTGGAGCACCTGCCTGTCCCACTAGCGAGCTTGGTGATGTGCTTATCCCTCCTCTGTCTGTGACAGCTGATGAGTGACTTTGCTGCTCGTTAAATATGGAGCACAGCAGCTCCTTCTGGATGTGGGGGAAGTCTTGATGCCTTGTGCTGAGGCTGTGCTTGCTGTCAGCTGTGTGTGCCCATGGGAGAGGAAGCAAGACTAGATGTTGTTTCCCAGCTGCTGCACCAGCCAGGAGATTTTTAGGTAATACAACAGGTAAGGAGAAAGGAAATGCCTCACGAGGAGGAGCTCAGCTGCCAGGTGGTGTGTCCTTGGGAGCCTACAGTGCGGAGCAGACGTGGAGGAGTGCTCGGTATGTTCATGCACATCTGAGAGAGCCTCTCTCGTTCCTTCTTTCTGGTCTGTGACAGTTTTTGCAGCTGTGGCGTGTTCCTCCTCCGGGTTGATCTTATTGCAGCCTTCCAGTACTTAAAGGGGGCCTTCAGGAAAGCTGGAGAGGGATTTTTTCCAAGGGTGTGTAGTGACAGGACACGGGGCAATGGCTTTAAACTGAAAGAGGGCAGATTTCGATTGGATATAAGGAAGAAATTCTTCCCTCTGAGGGTGGTGAGGCACTGGCACAGGTTGCCCAGAAAAGTTGTGGCTGCCCCATCCCTGGCAGTGTTCAAGACCAGGTTGGATGAGGCTTTGGGCAACCTGGTGTAGTGGAGGGTGTCCCTGCCCATGGCAGGGGGTTGGAACTGGATGATCTTTGAGGTCCCTTCCAACCCAAACCATTCTATGATTCCAGCTGTCGGTGTATTTCCCTGTCGGCATCGCCAGGCAGGAGGTGAGGGACCACCAAAACGGAAAAATCGGGAAACCCACTAATGCTGTGGGTCCTCCTGGTCAGCCCAGGGGGCTCCTCCCTGACTTCATGGGGCTTTTTTCTGGCTCACCCCTTCCTCGGGGCAGTGCGGCGGGCAGTGCTGGCACACCAAAAACCCCCAAAATCCTGAAAACTCTGTGATTTCTCCAACCGGAGCAAGTGTTTCCGAGAGGCTGCAGGGACGTGACCGTAGTTTGGTGCCTTGGGGCTTTGGGGGGAGCATGACCGGAGTGGGGGTGACCTCGGAGGGACGGGAACTGTGCCCGGGGAGGCAGGATGGCTCCCACGCTGCTGCGGATTCCCGCTCCCGCCCAGCCCTGCCCACAGTGCCCGGGAGGGTGACCTACATAGGAAAACCAGCTGGGAGTGGAGCATTGATCTCGCTGCTTTGAGGAGGACACAGAGGCATGAAAACATTTGTTTAATGA